CCCCCCCCCCCCCAATATTTCGTAAAGTGCCCGCCATTGAAGAGAAGTTATATGTAAATTTCCAGGTGCTAATAAATATTGATTAACTGAGTTTCCCTTACATAGATGATTATCATCAAAATAAGGCAAATTGTTAATTTAATAGATTATTAGCATTATAAAATAAGAGTGAGGACATGTTCATCGAGAGTAACGTCTGTTCACAGGCTAGGACATGTTGGTTTCTCACATGGTTAACATACTCACATTTCTCACGTGGATTTAAAATCATGCACATTGTAATATAACTTTATTTTTACCCCAATTTTGACCTCATGTATATTGAAAAATTGCACGCTGTTTTATAGGTCGAAATATTTCAAAAAACAAACACAACACGGAAGGGTCTTCATATATCACTGTAAAGGTTCTTTCAAATAAGACAAATTTTTATTGCCATTTCAATTTAACAGCGTTATAATGGAAGACAATCAGGCGACTGAGGTTTCTTTCAGTTGAGAAAGGCATATTAGTTTCAGAAACTGAATGATCACATTTCAAAATCTACAGCTCACCAAATTCAAATGTGATAGAAAGTTGTCATTCAGAAAGTCTAACTTATTTTATATCCATTACATTTTCAAGGTGGAAATGTGAACCAACAAGATCAGTATGGTCGATCACCACTGCACGTTGCTGCGGCAGTAGATTACGCAGAAATGGTAGAATTTCTTCTACAAAATGGAGCTGATATTGATATTAAAACGTCTGGTGAAGAACAGACTGCGATACATTTTGCTGCAAAAAATGACGCTATCAACTCTCTTCAGATGTTGCTAGGATACGGAGCAAACATTGACGCACGTGACAGCAAGAACAGAACACCACTACAGGTATGGAAATCATGAGTGAGCATAACTATGAGTCACCATATAAAGGTAAACACTGAAGACTTGGAATTATCACCCTAATTAGGCATCACTCATTAAAAAGTTAAAAATAACACATTTATTGCGAAAATTGATAACGGCTGTTGTACATACAGTACTACATTACATTATTATTCAGCTTACTTGCTCTCCATTGGGGCTTTCCAGTGACCGATTAGACTATTTATCTTTACAACAATTGTGATATTACTTTCCTAACAGTGTTTATCCTAACCCACTCTGCCAACTTGCCCCATGGGAGAAAACCGGGGCGCCCGGAGAAAACCCACTCGCGACTTTCGGCAGAGTATTGACAGACTCTTTGCACATGAGTCCGTAGCGAAAACCGAACCTACGACCTCAGAGGTGAAAGGTGCTTGGTCTGACGACTGCGCCAACAAAGCTCGCATGCATATATTATGTTTGCCAGAATAAATTTGAGGAATGCTGGACACATGCGGCCGACAATGCGGGCGAGAACCTTGGCGAGGCAGACTTGGGGCAAGTCCACACTTACTTGCTTACATCTTCTTTGCAGTATTGCCATACAATTGTAGCTTAAGATTATATATATGTTGTATACTAAATTTATCGCTTCCCTGCACGTACTGTATAAACTACCATCGGCAAATTGTTTGTCAGGTTCAGCCTGGTTTTAATGATTATGTTGTATATATATATATATAATAATATATATATATATAAGGTCGTTAATTAAATATATTTTTGCATATAAAACTATTTAATATAATAATGGATTTACTGGATAGAAATGTGTATGGTTGTGTATACCTAAAAATAAAAATTGAAAGTAAGTGCTTTACAAGTTATAGTAAAAACAAACGATGATATCTAATAGGAGACGTTTTCATTAGAAGATTAACGAATAGCTATGAAACGTTTTTCAAAAGAAACTTTCTTTTGTAAATATCAGCCACTAACGCTTCTCGGTGAAATTCACCATTGTTTACAAACCCTCGTTTACAACATGTACAGTTGTGCATATCCTGACTATCTGAGTCCTCATAAATTGTCGTATTCACAATATAAATGCTCCAGATACCAGTGAAGAAATATATTTTTGAAAAAGTATGACAATTCTTTAATGATGCGATCTTGGAGTAAAACTATCTATTCTTATTGAATAAGTATTTCTGAATCGTATCTATGTTATTACTTCGCTTATGCCCTTGTTTCAGGAAGACAAACCAATGACTTTTCCTTCCCTAAAAACCAGCAACACCTGCATGCACGTGCATGAGAGTTAATACCACTAATCTTTGCGAATTAACGCTCATACCCAAAATACTGTAACTCAGAAAGACTATACTGACTTTATGTGCTCTGGGTCAACCGTTGTGGAAAAAGTCGGGTAACCTGTGAATACATAGTATTCGGACATCTTGTTTATCAGAAAACGTTAACTTTGTATTCCAATATGACTAAACTGCATATTCCTAATCGTCTAGGACCTGTATAGATGTTTGTATGCGTTTCATTTAGCACAGGTAATCTCAACTGTTTTAGGGTAAAATTACCATATATGGCGGTCAACATAGCATATGTGCCAAAACCTGAATCCGGGGCGAAAGTCCTGAAAATGACCCCGTCCTGAAACGGCAGTGCCGATCGACATAGCTCCAACTTCCGAAAACGAAAAGCGACAGCCTTTCTGAAGTACTTACTTATGGTGTTTAGAAGGGTTGCTTTTAGGGGTGGTCATTGGAAGGAAAAATTTGTCTAAGTATAATATTTTACAAGAAAATGACCATTCATCACCCCAGGTAAAATTGCTAATTATGCATAAAATAACTAATATGCCTGGCAGAAATTAAATGTTCTTATTTCCTAAACAAAATTATCATGGGATGAAAAACTATGCTTAATTTTATATAATTATTGTAGTTTTCATAAGGATTGTCATTGTTTTCTTTAAATATAATACATTTTATTTCACTCACCCTCCGAAAACACGATTTCAGCCATATATTTTTGCCGTCTTGTTTGCTTTTTATCGCCGAGTCTCGCAAATATCATCCAGTTGTTGTACGTTTACATAATGATAAATGGCTAAAGAAGATTTCAACCAAGTTTCATCAACTTTTGAAGCAGTGCAGTGTATTTTATCTTCGATATTGTTCCTTCGATATTTCGTCAAATTGCCGATAAATGCCACTTCTTCGTTTTCATATGTATTTAGATTACAGTATCCAAGAGTACTTCATTGTAGAATAGCCCCAATCGAAAAATTGAAAACATTAGTCGCATTTGGAAGGAAAAACCCTCCCGTAAAAAACAAAAAACAAATCATTTGAAAGTCACGCGCAATCTTCGCGAAAACTTCTCGTGGACACATGACAGAAGGG